AGAACGCACGCACCCGTATTCGTTTTCTTGCATCAAGCGCGCAGTTTCGTGGAGCTTTTCAGCCAGATCATACAACTCCTGGTCACACAGTGCATTGTCGTTTCAGGCGGGCGGGGGGAGAGTACGGAAGAATGGTTGACAACGGCGTCAATGAGATGACACGTGTGGCATGCACACATACGCACGAACACGGGCGCGCGCGCACACACACACACACACACACACACACACGTGTCAGACAGGTGTGCATGCAGGCAACACAACCAAAACCCATACAGACAGCATACCCCGATGGTGGTGTCTTTGTTGGCGTTTTTCCGTTCCGCCAGGCCCGAAGAGCAATTGGCAAATCGGTTGATTGTCACCGCAAACTGATAGTCCTTCTTCACGTGGACGGTGCCCTGGACACACACGCACGCCCAGGCGCACATAATGACGGATGTGCAAATGATAGCAGTGAATTGGAAGTGCGAAGCTCGAGGCATCTGAGCAACAAGTAGAACCGTCAGAGCAAGAAACCTTGACACTTGCTTTTGTTCCTTCTTGCTCATCAAATACACACACAACCACACAACCACACACACACACACGCAAACACACAAACACCACACAGGTGTTCTCCGACAACACATGAAAACACACGCACACACGAAAACACGCACACACGAAAACACATATACACATGCACTCACATCACATACAGCCCAAACCCCTCTGCAAGCCCCCTCTTCTCTGGTGTTGACGTACGGGTTCCGTGAGCTGTGCGAGCACGGCATCCCACTCGTCGCCCGTCAGCGATGCGTCTGTCTCGATGGACGATGGCAGCGGGCGGTGCATGGCGGCGTACAGGGCCTTCAGTTTGATCACCAGCGAGTTGTGCAGCTGCGTCCACGCCGCATCAAAGTTGCTGATAATTGGCCAAGAAGCGAACGAGAGCAAGTGGGGGGGGGGGTGCATTGCAGCAGAAAAGGGCGGTTGTGCGTGACAAGCAGTAGTGTGAGGGCCCTGCGTGGCAAGCTCGAAACAGCACAGCCCAAACAAGGGTGTAGAAACACACACACACAACACGTACACACAAATCACACACCGTGCGCGGATGTTGGTCCAAGCTAGCTCGTCATAGATCATGGCAACATCAAGCGAAGCGCTGCCAAATGCCTGAAAACGTGGTGGTGGTGGTGGCGGTGATGATGATTGATGATGGTGGTGATGGTGGTTGAGTGGGTGGAGGCGTGAATGGATGCAAAGCTACAAGGGGTCAGGGCCGAAGACGCATACAACAGCATACATGTCCACAGCATGTTTGTTCGTGTGTGCGTGCGTGTGTGTGCGTGTGCGTGTGTGTGCGCGCATGTGTTTGTTCGTGCATGTGCTTGTTTGTTCGTGTGTGCGTGTATGCATTGCCACATTCATTCGCGACGTACGGATTCGACGAGCGTGCGCGCCATCTTGAGAAAATGAACGGTCTGATCATAGATTCCACCCGCGGTGATCGATGATGATGATGATGATAAGTGAATCGGTGATGATGAAGCGTTGGAGCAGTGTCAGAATGCAGTGTCAGAAGAGCAAAGAAGGCACAGCAAGCTTACACACACACGCGCGCGCACGCACACGCACACACACAAGCAACTCCTCGAGCGCACCATGTTGTGGTTGTCCTGCTGGGAGCAGCACTTGGCGATGCACTTGAATGTCTCTGCAAGGTCGCGTGCCCCGTCCACGTCCAAGTGGCTACCGCCCCTCCACTCGTCATCCTTCACCCCGCGGCGCTTGATCTGACGGCCGGGAATGGTCAAAGGGCAGCAACCAGTTGGCAATGAGAAAAAAAAAAGCACAGGTTGCACTTGGGTGAGCACGTGCGTGTGAACACGAACGTATGTGTGCACATGGCCACACATGCAGCCACGTGAGGTGCGTTCAACTGCGTGTGAATATACCCATGCAAGCATACACGACGCATGTGCGCAGGTGTGTCAAACACAAGCGCCAGAGAGTACGCACATATTTGAGCTTCTTGGCGTGTGTTGTCGCCTGGTCCAGCAAGGTCTGCAACAGCGCTCGCTTGGTTGTTTCATCCTCCGTGCCATCACCATCACCATCATCATCGTCATCATCATCATCATCATGGTCGTCACCATCATCATCATCATCATCGTCACGATCAAGGTCACAATCGCCACCACTGCCACCATCATCGCGCCCGCCGACAGCACCCCTGCTCCGTGCGCGCGCGTGTGTGTTGACCCAGGGCGGCGGGCGGGCGAGGAACCAGCACAGCAGCAGAAACGTCATCGACCCTTCAAACTGCACCGTCAAACACACATAATTTAAGCACACAAAGACAAAGAGAAAGACACCGGTACGAGGGGCAGAGGAGATGGGGAGAATAAGAGAAGGAAGGAACGATGGCACGAGTGGGGTGGAAGGAAAAGGATGATAGCGCTAAAATGGAGCAAGTAATGCAGAGCTCCGAGCAAAAATTTTACAGCTGCTAACACCCCCCCCCAACACACACAAACAACAGCGTGCCTGGCGGCCAGTGTGTGATCGAGTGTGGCGTGTGCCCGTACCTTTCCGGCCGAGAAGAGGAGCATTGCAATTTCTCGCACAATCGCCGCCCACTGACAGCGCGCAACACACGGCGAGCAGCGTATGAATATGAGCACACGCGTCACTTACGCGCACATGCACAACACACACACACACACACACACACACACACAAATGACCAAGTCACTGCATAGCAGCCACGCTGCCAGCCATCATCACAATTACGGACAACACGATCACCAACCAACAGCAAATAACAACGCAACCAGCGCCGGCGCCATCACCACCACCACCACCACCTCTGTTTTTGGGCGAGACGGGAGCTGATCCAGAAGCGCTTGGCGGTACGGCGCAACTGCAAACACATGGCGGTGGTACATGGTCCATGTCACGCTATGTCTGAACTCACACAGACAGGCAACACACGCACACGCACACACGAATAGCACACGAAGCGCACACACACACACATGAAACACACGTAGACAACACAAAGTGCACACACACATGCAACACACGTAGACAACACGTTATAGACAATGAAACGCACAGCAATCAAACACACACACACACGCGTGCACAAAACGGCACGGCACGGCACGACGTACGCAGTTCGTTGCCGAGTTCGCGCCAGTGTGTGCCGAGCTCCAGTTTGCTGAGATCCGTTGCCCGCATGGCCACAAACACATCCAAGTCCGTGAGATAGTGCACCAGGCGCTGGTGCTGTTCGCACTGCAGCAGGTGCCATGGCAGCTCTTCAAGGCGGCGCGGGTCTGTCTTCGGCAGCGTGGCGAAGAAGGCAGCCAGCAACGCGTGGATGGCCTGTGTATATATGTATGTGTGCGTGCGCGTGCGTGTTGTAGGGAGGTGGGCGCAAGCGTGGTTGGTTGTGTATGGAACGGGACTGCAAGTCATGTTTGAGCAGCGTGTACACGCCATCCGCACACGTACACATGGCTGCTCTTGTGTGTGTGTATGTGTGTGTTTGGGTGTGTGTATGTGTGTGTGTGTGCGTGTGTCTGCACCTGTTTGCGCTGGTCTGTGTCGAGGTAGCGGGAGGCGACGGCGCGGCGCAATGCTTCGTGGTCAAACATGATCCGAGGCATCCGACACGTCATCGACTCCTGGCAGCGGTGGCATCGATGGCGGTGATGGTGATGGTGGTGGTGGTGATGGTGGTCGTGGTCGTGAGGTCGAGATCATCGCAGGGCCAAGGTGTGAATCGAACAATACAACGGTGATGTGCATGAATTCCACAGGGACAGCACGCCACCACCGCAGCCCCAACCTTAACCAATTCTTCTGCTTCCACCACCACCACGACTCCTAAAAGCATCATCATCATCATCATCATCATCATCATCATCGTCGTCGTCATCATCATCATCATCATCATCATCATCATCATCATCATCATCATCATCATCATCATCATCATCATCATCATCATGGACATCGTGGGCACCTCAAGTGCGTGCAGGAGTGGGATGGTGACGACGGGCGGCAGTGCGAGGGCGGATATGAGCTCGCGCTCCATCAGGCCGTGACGCGACACAGCAATCAACATCAGCGCCGTCGGCACCAGCCCGTACGCATCAATCGCAGCTGCGGCAAGCCTGGGTCGTGCATGTCGTGTCGTTGTGTTGTTGTGGGCGTGTGGTGTTGGTTTGCGTGAACAAGTGCGCAGGGGTGTGCGTGGGTGCGGGATTTGTTGCGTGTGTGCGGGCGTTGTTACGCAAGGAGGAAGCAACAAAGAGCACAGGTTAGACCCAAGACGCAGACGGCGTTGTGACATTACAACGGCGACAAGCACTTGAAACCACACACTTGAGATGCTCCTGCTGCGCTTGAATGTCTTCTGCTGATGTGTCTGCACAAGCGGCAAAAACGCATTGACGGTACGGGGGTTCATGTGCTGAGGATACGGACATGCGAGGCAACCACCTACTTGATGCACCAGACACGTCCGTGCACACAAAGGTGCAAACACACACCCACACCCACACCCACACCCACAAGCACACACACCCACACCCACCCACCCACAAGCACACACCCACACACACATAAGCACACACACACACCCACACACAAGCACACACACACACAAGCACGCACACACACACACATAAGCACACACACACACACAAGCACACACACACACAAGCATACACACACAACGCATTCGACGTGCACGCCCTCCCCTCCTCCAAAGAATGTGTGCTACTACCTGGGACGCGGGCATCTGTTGCAACAGAGCGCATGACGGATTCAATGTCCGGTGGAGCGGAAAACGCGTCCTCCAGCCGCTGCAGCACGCGCGTGTACAGCTGGGAGACGTTTGATGCTGCCAGCAGTGACGTCAGCTGCTGGTCCAGCATGTCAAAGTCCCCAATCACGCGGAGCTCATCAAGGACGAGGCGCAGGAACAGCGGGTTGCGTGCGGCGTTGTGCTGCACCAGCCTGTCGACATGCACGCTGTCAAGCTGCTTGCCATACGGGCGAAGGAAGGCGTTGACGAGGGGCTTGCGCTCAGCCACGGGGATATCCGGCATGGTGAGGACGCGCCAGTTGGCACCACGCATGGCGGCAACATCGTCCACAGGCATTGTCGACACCACAAACTGGGAAAGAAAGAGGGGGTGGGGGAGATGGGGGGTGGGGCATGTGAGATTGGGACATTGTGATGGTGTGTGTTTGTGTTTGTGCATGTGAGTGCATGTGCGTGCGTTTGTTTGTTTGTGAGTGCATGCGTGCGTGCATGTGTGTTTGTTTGTTTGTGAGTGCATGTGCGTGTGTTTGTTTGTGAGTGCATGTGCGTGTGTTTGTTTGTGAGTGCATGTGTTTGTTTGTTTGTGAGTGCATGTGCTTGTTTGCTGCTATTCAGAAGACCACGCCCCACCTTGATGTTTGGAAACGTGACGTGCAGCGGCAGCCAGTCGCTGACAGAGGGAATGTCTGTTGTTCGCGTGAACTGATTCACAGCATCAATGATGATCGTCAGAACCTCGCCTGTGTGCGTGTATATGTGTGCGTGCGTGTGTATGTGTGTATATGTGTGGGAGCGAGTGTGTTTGCATAGTGTGTGTGTGTGTGTGAGCGAGTGTGTTTGCAGTGTGTGTGTGTGTGTGTGAGCGAGTGTGTTTGCATAGTGTGTGTGTGTGTGAGCGAGTGTGTTTGCATAGTGTGTGCGTTATCTCCCTTCAGGTCACGAAATGTTCAGCAAGCAAGCAGCCAACAGCACGATCAACCGACACCAACCCGCTATCCCTATCTCACCGCGGTCCTGGAGCCAGGATGAGCATGAGCTGAGGATCTGCGGGAACTGCGACACGAGACGCTGCGTCTGCGGCGCGAGATTGAACGACTCCCCCGTCATGCTGGTGGGCACCGATGATAGTCGTAGTAGTAGTCGTAGTAGTAGTAGTGGTGGTGGTGGTGGTGGTGGCGGGGAGAGTGAGCAACGCCGGCGTGTGAGAAATGGTGGCTGAAGGCTCATAGAACAAATACACACACACACACACACACACACACACACACACACACACACACACACACACACACACACACACACACACACACACACACACACACACACCGCTTGATGAGGACGGCGATGCGGCGAAGAATCTGCGACGGGAGAGCGCTGTCGTTTGAACGGCCGACAAAGTGGAGGATAACGCGGTTGCGCTCGGCTTCAAGCAGCACCTGATGCAATTTGGAGAAGAGGGAGGACTTGCCAATGCCGGAAGGACCGCACAACACGCAGTGGGACGTGCACGCGGTGATGTCCTCCAACACGCGCGCGTGCGGCTCAAACAGCCGAAAATGACGCAATCTGCTTGCGGCAAACGCCAAATGTAGAAACGTCTCCTGTTCCACAGGATCCGCATACAGCCCTGTGCACACGTACGAGTAGGAGTGGTTGGAAAGGATGTGTGTGTGTGTGTGTGGTACAACAGCGTGAGCTGGTCGTGCATGCAGACCATAATGGAGGGAGAAGGCTGTCCATTACATGCGCACACACGCACATACACTTGCATGCACACACACACGTGTACACAAAAAACAAGCATACAGCTGACCTTGTTTTCGAAAGTCAAGCTCCACGAAGCGCCACAGCCCCTGCTTCACCTTCTGGCACAGGTCCTCCACAGAGCTGTACGACTGCACGTCCACGTTCTCGCTGCTCTTCAGTGTCGCCTTCAGCGCCTCCAGCCGCGCCCGTGCAGTGTCACCATCGCCATCACCATCATGTTTGGGTGCACCCAGCTCTGCCGCTGGCTTGGGCAGCGTTGGCGTTGGCATTGCTGATGTTGGTGTTGATGGGTTGGGTGTGGCAGGGGATGGGGCTGTGGTTGAGGTGTTCGCACTTGCTGCCGCCACTTCATCAACGCCATTCCTGTCATCACCACCACCACAACTCCTCAAAGCATCATCATCATCATCATCATCATCATCATCATCATCATCATCATCATCATCATCATCATCATCATCATCATCATCATCATCATCATCACCACTGGCCCGTGGCTCGCGCACAAACACGAGAGCGCGCCGCTGCGCTGGCGGCACGAGCAGAACGCCGCTGATAATCTCCAGGTGGGTGATGGAGCACAAGCTCGGCACCTTCCCCTCCTCGTCGATCAGCGCACCGCTCCACGTGGATCCGTTCAGGTTGGTCGTCTCAAAGGCAGCAGGGTCCTCCTCCAGCAGCCACCAGTACCCTTCACCGAGCTGGTCGTGTGCCTGCAGGCACATGTCATGCCCCATGCACCGAGTGGTTGGGTTAGATTGGCGCTCTGGATCAGGAACAATTACGCAAGCAATCACGCAACCGATCACGCCAGCACATGCATCTGCTTCTCGACACATGATCGTACATACATACCCAGAGACACTCGCAGGCAAGTCCGCGCACTCACGCACGCACACACATACATACACGCACGCACACACGCACACACACACACGCACGCACACACATGCACCAACTCACGCACTTTTCATTTGTGCACAACGCCTCCCTCAGCACTCCATGCCCCACCTTGACGAGCGCCTCGCGCGGAGGGCACCAGCCGTATCTGTCGCCAAGCAGGACGATAATGTACGGAGAGCAGCGGCGAACTTCCCGCAGACACGTGGCAATGACGCCCGGCATATCGGCCTCTTTGCTCACGCCCCAGCGCAGATCTGTCTCGCAGCAGAAAATGCCCTTGTCAGCGGCGAGCTTGCGGATTGGCGGGAAGGCATTTGTCATCAGACCAATGCGCTCGTCCTTCATGTCCTTGAACGAGGAGCACACAAATACATGCAGCCCTTTCGCATCTGCGCACACATGGTGTGTTTGTGTGTATGTAAGGTTGTGTATGTGTGAAAGTGTGTACATGTATGTGATGTTGTGTGAGTGAGTGAGATTGTGTACGTGTTGAGACTGTGTACAGAGGCGCGCTTGGTTGTTGGGATCCGCAAATGGCAAGACACAACCCAACATCGCACAGCAAACACTATGATGCCGTGTGTCTGAGATCCAAAAAGCCGCCCTCACCTCCGCGAAGTGAACGTTCCTGTGTTGAGGGCGTGGATCGAACACCAGTCTCGGGCATGTAGCTGCGCCTGTGCTCCGCGAGGACCTTGAATCGTGCACATGTGCAGGACGTGTAGATGTAGCTGTGAGGCAAAGCTTGCTCGCAATCATGGAACGAGATGGTACCATCACTCAAAGGTGTCATCCCCCACATACGTCTACACCCCTCTACATACCTCTACACACCTCAACGCACACACACACACACACACCTCAACACACACGCACACACATACACACACACACCTCTGAGATGGAGCGATGGGCAATGGGGTTGGACGAGATGCTGCTGCTCTGTCTTGTGAGGGAACCTTCGTCGGCGTCAGCGATAGATGCTTGGCGCAACAGGGGCCTCATTCCACGCATCACTGGGCCATCGGCATCCTCGCAGCCACCGCCATCACCATCGCTACCATCCATGCTCCTTGTCCGTGCAAAAAGGTGTTGGTGGACGCAAACACAAGACAGAACAGAACGAAGGAGACAGCGTGGTGTTTGTGTTGTGGTGGTGTGTTTGGTTTGTTGTCGTTGGCGATTTGCCGAATTCTATGTGTATTTTCAATCACTTTTCCCGATTCAACGTCAGTGAGTGGTTGCGGTGTTGGCAGGAGTTGGTTTGGTGGGTTTGGTTGGTTTGGTTGGTCGGTCGTTGAGTGTTGAGTGTGGGAACGCTCGCTCGCTCGCTTGCGTGCTGGCCTGCTCGCTTGCTTGCTTGCTTGCTGGCTTGCTTTACTTCTCTGTGCCACGTGTTGGGGTGCATGCACTTGTGCGTGTGCGTACGTGTGCTGTGGCGTGTTGGCTACTGCTGTTGTTGCTGTTGTTGCTGTGTATGACCAGTCGCTCACTTTTCGTTTCAATACACCGTCGTCTCCACCACCACGGTCGTGTGTCGTGCATGTTGCCTTAATGTGAAGACAGGCACGACATCAGAAAATAGGTGCACGAGTTCATCACCCCCAGCAACCACATCGACACGACAACCGACCATGGACGACATCCTGGCAGCGTTTGAGGATGCACAGGGCTCCGTTGCCTCTGGTCTGGAGGCGGTGCAGTCGTCTGTGACATCTGGCATGGACGCCGTGCGCGCAGCTATTGAAGCCCACGTTGCAGAGCTCCAACTCCGGGTGCGGCTTGTGTGCGTGTGTGTGCGTGTGTGTGTGTGTGCGTGTGCGTGCGTGTGCGTGTGTACGTGTTGTTTCGTTTTCTCGTGGTCTGATGTTGGGCTCAACGCGTTGTGGGTTCACTTGTGCAGGAGGAGGAACTGGCCCAGCGTGAGCAGGAGCTTCGTGAGCAAGAGGAGCGTCTTGAGCAGCAGCGCGAGGAAATTGCCTCCATTCGCGAGCTCCAATCCAAGACGGTACGGTACAGTCGTGGAATTTTGTGTGGTGTGTTTGCATGTGTGTGTGTGTGTGTGTGTGTGTGTGTGTGTGTGTGTGTGTGTGTGTGTGTGTGTGCAATTTTGCTTCTACCACTTTTTCCTCTTTGCCACTCTCAACTCCATTTGTGTCTTGTTTGCTCCTCAGTTCTCTGTGAAGCTTGGCGGCACCGTGTTTGAGTTCTCCCACACCACCATCCAAGACGTGCCCGAGGAGAGCTACCTTGCCAACTGTTGCCGCGTCTTTGAAGAAACACAGGAGGTGCGCCTATGTCTGTGTGCGTGTGTGTATGTCTGTGCCTGTGTGTGTATGTCTGTGCCTGTGTGTATGTCTGTGCCTGTGTGTCTATGTGTGTGTGTGTCTGTGTCTGTGTGTTGCTCTGTGTGTACTCATGTACCTGTGTACTTCAACGCCACACTGCTGCGTCTTCCTCACACCCTGCTTTTCTCTGTATGTCACAGCCCGTGTTCGTGGAGCAAAACCCAAACGAGTTTCAAACTCTTCTCAACTACCTTCGTCGTGGGCCAGCTTACGTAAGTGCAGCACATGTGTGAAGGACAGAGAAACACGCGCGCGCACACGTGTGTGTGTGTGTGTGTGTGTGTGTGTGTGTGTGTGTGTGTGTGTGTGTGTGTGTGTGTGTGTGTGTGTGCGGGTGGTACAGCGGATGCACCCGCAAACAACGAATCCCAATTTCACACGTGTATGTGTGTGTGTGTGTGCGTGTGTCGCTCATGATTGCAGTTGGAGACGCTGTCGCAGTCTGAACGCATCCATCTCGACGCCATTGCTCAGTTCTTCGGCGTCCCGGTCAGTGCAGTGCAACGGGCATGAGTTGGACGGGCGTGTGTGTGTGTGTGTGTGTGTGTGTGTGTGTGTGTGTGTGTGTGTGTGTGTGTGTGTGTGTGTGTGGATGTGAATCTGTGTGTGTGTGTGTGTGTGTGTGTGTGTGTGTGTGTGTGTATGTGTGTGTGTGTGTGTGCAACTGTGCATGTGCACATGTGTACCTGACCTCATCTCCCGCCCGGTGCAGATTGAGGATGACACGAACGGGCCTGCCGAACCCCAGACCCCGCCCGACTACCACCCGGAGAAGCAGGCATTCGGTACGGACACGATACGGGCACAACCGCGTGGGTGCTGAATGCAGAGTGTTTGCTGAGCGATGACAGATGCAGCTTGCATGTCCGCTTGTGACCGCTGGTGACCGCTGGCGAACTGTAATTCCCTCAAGTCACACACACACGCGCGCGCGCACACACACAATGCCTCTCTTTCTCCTTTCGCCCACTCACACACACACATCAAACTCATGCCCGTTGCAGTGCTGCCAGCTGTGTCTGCGCCCAATCCAACCGCCCTCGATACAGCCCCAACAGCGACATCCTCGGCCACAACGGCCATCGCGCCTCCGCCAGCAGCACACGCGACAACGGAGACACGAGCGCCAATGGCGGCAGTGCCAACGGCGGAGGAGTCTGTGCCACAACCGCCACCCGTGGCTGTGACGCCACCCCCAGCCCACGTTGCCGCTGTGAGCGCAGCACCTACTCAGCCGGCCACCGACAGCACACAGCCCGCTGCCGTCGCACCACCGCCTGCGTTGGAATCAGCAGCCCCACCATCAGCAGCCCCACCATCAGCAGCACAACTGCCAACAGCAACAGCAAGCACAGCAGTGACGCCAGCAGACACCGCCGCATCTGCTCCCGTGGACGCAGCGCCGCTGTCGCCGGCAGCACCGACGAGTGGCGAGCTGACGACACAGCCACAACCACAACCGGGCAACGCTGCCGCCCTCTTCTCGCCGGCAAGCCAGCCAACTCAGCCAACTCAGCCAACTCAGCCAACTCAGCCAGCACAGGCAGCCGTTCCCGTACAGTCAACTCAGCCAGCAGTGCCAGCACAGCCAACGCAACCAACGCAACCGCCCTCGCAACCCACACAGCCGGTGCAATCCACGCAACCAGTACACCTGCCAACACAGCCCGTGCAGCCAACACAGCCCGTGCAGCCAACACAGCCCGTGCAGCAGCCGATGCAGTTCTTCATGCCGGGCCAGCAGCAGACAAACGGGACAGGTGCGCCCGCACAGCCCGCTGCAGCAGCAAACACACATGCACCTGCACCTGCGCACGCGCGCACAGGCGGTGTTGGCGGCGTGTCGATTGGCGCCATGACGCAAAAGGACAGGGACGAGGGCGGGTGGAATGATGTTCCGGCAGTCATCCCAACCAAGCGACCCAACCCGCGCTTCGGTTCCAGCTCGTCGCAACCTGCGGTGTGTGTGTATGTCTATGTGTGTGTGCGCGTTTTCTTGTGCTCTTGTGTTCGCGTGTATGTGTCTGTCTGTTCTTGTATTCCTGTGTGTGTGACCGGTTTCTCACCACCTCTCTCTCTCTCTCTCTCTCTCTCTCTCTCTCTCTCTCTCTCTCTCTCTCTCTCTCTCTCACTCTCACACTCTCACACACACACACTCACTCTCTCTTCACGGCCTTGTCAACCTGCGTCATCAACAGCAGCCAATGTTCTTCGACCCAACAAAGAACGCACGTGAGTGTTTCTCAACTGCGTTGCACTGTAGCGTCATGCCTGTTGCTGCTTTTCTGTGCCTTCAGTCATCTCTCACCATCGTGTCGTTGCCTCACCTTCAACTGTTCTCGTTGGTCCATGAAGCAGCACCGCCTGTTACGGAGCCCGAGCAGCCAAAGGTCCAGGTATGTGAGTGCATGCGCGGCTGTCTGCTGGTGCTTGTTGCATAACAGACGTTGAACCATCGATGCCTTGGCTGAACCTGTTCCGGGGTGCACTGCACGCCACCACATTCAACCTACCAGTCCCTCTTCCTCTTCCGCATGTCTTCGAACGGTCGCCCTTCTCACCCCACAATCCAATCACACTTCACATCACCACACCCCAACTCCTCGATCACATCATCCTGACGTGGTGCTGGGAGCAGCCGCAGGCGTCGCCGGAAATGGTCACGTTTGTCAACAGTCTCCGCACCAACGTCGATCTCGCCCTCAAGTCCCTCGATGTGCGTCTCGCACATGTGCTGTGTCATATGCGTGTGCTGTGTCGCTGATCTTGTGTGTGCACTGTGTGTGCAAGTCTCCTCCAACGCTTTTGTTTCCTGTGCCCATTTCAAGATGCACCTCTCACCCCTTGCGTCTCCAACCCACACACACGAAACAAAGGCAAAGCACGCGACGCGGGTGCGGAGTGCGCTTGACCAGTTCTTCAACGGGCTGCTCACCAACAGCGTCGCCGTCTCGTCGGATGTGCTTGGCCACATCCAGAACTTTGTCTTTGCCGTCCTCAACCGCGACATCAACGAGGCCCGCAGGATCCACGTCGAGCTCGTCAGCGCCTCGCAGGTCCGTCCCAAGGTGGGGGTGGTGGTGGTGTGTGTGTGTGTGTGTGTGTGTGTTTGTGTGTGTGTGTGTGTGTGTGTGTTTGTGAACTTGTGGTGTACTCCTGTTATGATGGCGCTCACACACACACACACATGTGCGTCCTTGCAGGTTCCTCATGTTGTGAATGCGCTCAAGCGGTTCCTGCAAGCGTGATGGCGGTTATCGCCTGCTGCTTCCGCTGTTTTGCTTGGTGTTGGTGTCGTGTTGTCCATGAATGAACCGAGGAATACGCAACAAGAGGGTCGTGATTTGATGGCTGCATGAGGCGGCTGATCGTTCGTGTTGATATGAGCGTGGGAAAGATAACATCGTCCTCCACCAGCACCACCTCCCCTACACAGCACCAGCCATGCTGCTGCTGTTGCACCAGCCATGCTGCTGCTGTTGCACCACAACAACAAGCGCCAGCGCCACCCAGCAGACACCCAGCAGTCTCAGTGGCAGCAGCGTGGGAGTCTGCCCCAGTGTCCTCTTCCTCAGCGTCATGTCCTTCAAGCAAAGAACAGAGAGAAAAGCGAAGCAAGCGGAAATAAAGCACACGCACAAAGCAAAAGGAAGAAGAAGAAGAAGAAGAAGAAGGAGTTGACGTACAACCGCATCACACACACACACACACACACACACACACACACACACACACAGCACCAGGGGTGATGTCGAGCCGCCACTTGCGTCGCTTGCGTCGACTTCGCGGGGACAACCCCGAGACCGGTGATTGTGATGAAGTGGGCAGCGAGAGCGGAATGCTGCGCTTGCTTGCTTGCTCGCTTGCCCGTTCGCTTGCTTGCCCTGTGGTGATGTGCGATGAACGAACGAACGACGTCTCATTGCTCACACACACACACACACACACACACACACACACACACACACACACACACACACACAACACACACACACACACACAACACACACACACACACACACACACACACACTGCCTCTGGCTTTGCTGCGCGGTAGACCTTGCAGTTGAACCGGAGTCGGAGAGGACACACGCTGATCAACAACAGGGGCAGCCAAGTGATGGCGATGATGATGGCAGCAACAGCAATGACAGCGACAACGACAGCGACAGCAAAGGCGAAGCAGCCCCTGCCTCAACACCAGTCTCCTCCTCCTCCTCCTCCTCCTCCTCCAGATTCCGCGCGTCAGTGGCGAACGGCACTGATCCTTCTTCGCCCAAGCCTTCAGAATGGCAGACGTCGATGCCCATGGAGCTGTTGATCCGTGTGTTCAAGTTCCTGCCGCCACGTGATGTTGCCTGCGCTGGGAGCACGTGCCGATCCTGGTACCATGCCGCGTTCACCACAACGACGAAAGCAGCCGAGGCGGCACCTGCTGCGTGCTTGCGCGTGCTCGAGACCTGCTCGGACTCCTCGATCCTCTGGCGCTTCAATAGCTTTGGCTACGAGAACGGCGATGGCGAGCCCATCGACTGCAACCCGGCACTCATCAAGTTCCTGGCATGCAGGGCACGGCGCATGTACATCGAGCAGGTGGACATGGAGGGCTGCTGGAACGCCAACGATGCGTTCATGGGGTCGCTCGCCAGCACGCTGCCCAGCCTCCGCCGGCTCAACATTGCCAATTGCGGCGAGCTGACGAGCGCCAGCATGCGGCATATTGGCGCCTTGAGGCATTTGGTGGCGCTGAGCATTCGCGGTCAGTCGCACTTCGCAGACGCCACCATCGCCACTGCCCTGTCCAGCCTGAGATCACTCGAGTTTCTGGACATGGGCAACCTGCGGATCCGTGATGCTGTGCTGGCTGCCGTCGGCGCGTGCTGTCACCGTCTCAAGCACTTGTACCTGAAGGGCAGCAGCAACATTACGGGCGCTGGCGTTGCCCACCTCGCCACGTGCACGCACCTCGTGTACCTCTCGCTGCGCAACTGCCACCGCGTGCCCATTGCGGCGGTGCACGCGCTTGTATCGCACCTCCCCGACTTGCACGTGCTCGACGTGCGCGGCTGCTGTGTGCGCGGGGACGGCGCAGACCTGCTGCCTTTCTTCAGCAACCCAAGCCTGCACCTCATCTCCACACCCTCCATCCTCTTGCAG